CTTTTGAGATGTGTTTGTGATATTTTGAATGCAGTGCTTCATTTAACAAGAGATGTGTGTGCAATTCTTGGATTTGTGTGTAAAGTTTTGAAAATGTGTGTAAGCAGCTGAAAAAGCTATTATTTTGGATTCCATCTTCATTTATATATTTCTTTCACTCAAATGTTTTTACTGTCACTTTTGATCAATTTAATGCATCCTTGATAAACAAAGATATTCATTTCTTTTAAAAAAAATAAGAAAGTTTTGTTAGTTCTATTAGGATAAAATAGCATTAGATGTCCTTACGGGGAAACAATCATGAGTGTGTGTGTTTCCTTGCCTTTGATGACACTCGTGCATTTTCCAGTGTTACTCTGATCCAAACAGCAGGATGACGTGCGACACTGCGCCAGTCCTTACACACCTGAGAGAGACACACACACACACTTAAACACTGAAGCACACATTACACACACACACCATATATCTAACACACGCACCTCAGCGGCGGTGAGCAGCGAGCGCGTGTCCAGATAAGTGTACACACAGAAGAGCGCCGCTTTGAGCCTCAGACGCTCCGAACACACGGCCGATTCACTGGATCTGTTCACACGCCAGTGCAGATCCGGACCTGATCACAACAACAACTGACAGATGTCACACACTTCACACCCTAGCAACCTCATAGCAACACCATGGAATCACGGCAGAGAGTTTTTTTATGGGCAAATGTACTGTTTACTGAAAATCTATTTATATAATTAATAATCACTATAATCAGTTATTCTTTTCAATAAATCTTAATGTGTCTTTATGTGTGAATCAGGATCATTATTATTAGTATAGGATAACTAAACTACAACTAACAGGATAACTAAAACCACACAAAAAAAACTTTCTTTACGTGAAATACTGTAACATATGTTAACTGAAAAAAAAAAACATTTATTTTATTTCAACGTTGCTCATTTTCATTTAGTTTAATGATGTATTAAAATAAACAAAATTCAATAAACTAAAACTAATCAATAAAAAGTAATAAATATTACTATGTAGACATTTAAAATATAATAAAAATGACAAAAACACAACAAAATTACTAAAACTGACTAAAATGAACCTGTAAACAGAAAAAAAAAAAAAAAAACTAGTTTGCAAAAATAAACCTTTAAACAAAAAAAAAAAAAAAAAACTAGTTTGTTTTATAGTATCAGGAATACTAAAATAACACTGATACAACGTAACACTGTATATTTGTGTGTGTGTGTGTATTCTATAATATAAACAGAATTTTGCATGTGTATTTACACTACCGTTCAAACGTTTGTGGTACATTTTTTTTTATGTTTTCGAAAGATATCTCTTCTGCTCACCAAGGATGCAATTATTTGATCAATATACAGTAAAAATAACAATAATTTGTAATTTTTTCCAATTTAAAATAACCATTTTCTATGTGAATATCTGTTAAACTGTAATTTATTTCTTTTCAGCATCATTGCTCCAGTCTTCAGTGTCACATGATCTTCAGAAATCAGTATAATATGCTGATCTGCCGCTCGAGAAACATTTCTGATTATTATCAATGTTGAACACAGTTGTGCTGCTCAATATTTTTGTGGAAACTGTGATGCATTTTATTTTTCAGGATTCACAGATGAACAGAAAGTTCAGAAGAACTGCATTTATTTGAAAAAAAAAATCCTTTATAACATTAGAAATGTCTTTACTGTTACTTTTGTTCAATTTAATGCATCCTTGATGAATAACCGTATTAATTTCTTTGATAAATGTCTCTACTATGACTCCAGCGGTGTGTGTGTGAGTGTTTGAGAGTGAGTGCGTGTGTGAGTGTTTGAGAGTGAGCGTGTGCGTGCGTGAGTGAGAGTGTGTGAGCGTGTGTGTGAGTGCGTGTGAGTGAGTGTTTGAGAGTGAGCGTGTGCTTGCGTGAGTGAGAGTGTGTGAGCGTGTGTGTGAGCGTGTGTGTGAGCGTGTGTGTGAGAGTGAGTGTGTGCTTGCGTGAGTGAGAGAGTGTGTGCGCGAGTGAGTGTGTGAGCGTGTGTGTGTGTGTGTGTGTGTGTTGTACCAGTGCTGTTGTAGGTCCTGTATCCTGTGTGTTGTGTGTCGTCCTGTGATTCTGCGGTGTAAAGTGACCAGTTGTCTGACTCGGCGTCGGTGTGTGTGTGTTGGATCATCCAGGGTGATTCGGAGCCGCTGTCGGGCCCCTCGACTGCTCCACACAACACATGCTGATACTGCCGTCTGTCCCAGTGACCCTCACAGCAGCCCGAACCCACCGACAGCGTGCGGGGCCTCCGCTCGAACCTGAGACACGCCAGTCACATCACATCATTACTGCAGACGTCACAAGACAATCACAGTCTTTTATATCTCCTAGTAGCTTCTCCTAGGCAGCAATGAGAACGCATGCAAAGCAAACAGAGACTTTGGCTTAAAGCAAAAGGCCAAATTCTATCCAGATTAGTTAGTTAGTTAATTAAATAATTAATTTATTAATTCATTAATTTACTTACTTTTTGGCCTGTACTGATGTATGACGACTAAAGATTTATTTTTGAGGTTCAGTTCCAATAAATGTCCAGTGTGGAGCCAAATAACATTTACAAAACATTTTTATAGATAGATAGATAGATGAAGAACTTAAACTAAACAAAAAAATAGAAATGTTGCATTGGCAACTAACTGAAAAAGTATAAGGTGAAGCAGCAAAAATAACTGGATATAAAAAAATAACTAAAACAAACAAAAATAAACTTACATTTTAATAGTTTGAAAAAAATAAATACAAATGACAAAAGACAACACAATCACTAAAAATACCACAAAAAAAAAATAAAAAGCTAATTCAAAATATTAATGAAATCTATAATAAAATATTTTTAAAATACTAAAATAACACTGCACGTAAAATTTGAGACCAGGGTTTTTATAGTTAACTAAAACTAAAATCATAAAAAATGTTACTTGAGATAAAATGTTAACTAAAATAAAAATTGGGACCAGGACAGGAAAAGTTGCCAGGACACTCTTGAAAAAGAGATTTTTAATCTCAATGAGTTTTTTCCCTGGTTAAATAAAGGTAAAAAAATAAATAAAATTAAATAGTGAAAAAAACGTAAACTTATTTATTTTTTCAAATAACTACCAAGGCAACATTTCTCATTGCCATTTAGTTTAACTTGATGTACTATGTAGATATTTACAGAAATCAACCAATCAAAAAAACAAAACAAAAACTCAGAACAAAACGACTAAAACTTGACCTAAAATGAAAATGAAAATACTAAAATAAAAACTAATTCAAAATATGAAAAAACTATGATAGAATGTCAATGATAACACTACATGAGACTGTTGTTTCTCATTAATCCTATGATACGACCCATTTAAAGTGCACTATATTGTATTAAATATGTTGCGAGGCGTTTGGACGGATGCATGCTGATGAACAGATGTGATTCTTGTGTAAATCTTTAGTAATGTACCTGTAGTACTGAGTGGCTCTGTAATCAGACACATGAGAAGATCTCCTGCTCATCCCAGACACGCTGTAACTCCTCTGTCAAACACACAAATACATTCACTGCTGATATTTGAGAAATATCAGTGGTCGCTCTATATCTCCAATAATATGTCTTAGTAACGAGATTTAAACGATCCAAACATATAATGCAGTGATTGAGAGCTGAAGAAATAAAGGCTCCTCAGAAGATGTGAGATGTTCTGGAGGCTTGTGAAGATCATTCCTCCGCTGAGGAACAGTGAAAGTAAAGCTTCTGGAAACAAACGCTCCTCAAAAGATCCTGAGGATCAGATTTGAGACTCTAAAACATGATTGATGGAGAACCAAGTAAAGCCCAGCTGCTTCGGTCCAGTAAGTGTTCATCTGGAAACGGACTCTCTGTACCTGGTATGCTCTGCTTCCTGCCAGGTGTCTGTGAGGGGAAAAGACATCTTCGTAAAGATTCTGCAGCTGCGTCTCGGCTCTCTCTGCTCTCTCCAGCAGGTCCTCAATGAAGCGCTGAAGACGGATCTTCGCGCTGGCTTCCTGGAGCGCCGTGTCTCGCACAAACCTGTCCAGCTCACACACTTCCCTAAAACACACACACACACACACGCATTAAAACATTCACATGCATCTCACACACCATCTAAACTAGTGATGCTCCAGAATGATTTGCTTACCGAAACACAGAAACCAAAATTAAAGTTTCTATATAGATCAAACGAAAGAAAACTAAGTTGCGGTAATTCAGCTTGGGTATTCAACATTACATCCCAGCTAACAGGGAATGTTATCAGAACGTTCTGGGAAGGTTCTCTTAAAGTTATGAACAAGCATTCCTCCTGTAACGTTAATAAAACATTCATTCAAAGTTGATCTTTAATCTGGTCTTTAATATCAAAATGTTATTTATACATTATCGTTAATGGAACTTTATTTCCTGAAACATTTTAGTTGGATGTTCATCTAACGTTTTTTTAAAGCAACCCACGGAACATATTTCGACTGAACAGGACCCCCGGAATGCGATTTTGATAGCCAGTTTCCCCCAGAACATGGTTGGGCTAGATTTGGCCATGATTGGGGTATTTTAGAGTAGCAACTGGGCTGGTTTTGTTACACAAACCCTGGCAACCCTGCTTTAAGGTACCTACAGATTCCCACCCCTAGCTGACATGTTTACCTGTAGTAGTTGTGTGCATTTAATAAACACTGACATGTTCAAAACACGCCATCAGAAAAGTTAATTAAGCATCGGTCAATGATTTCGGCTCTCCAAAACCATTTAATCTGAAACTGAAAATTATTTTTTTGCAATTTCAGACAAATATATTCAGTGCATCTCTAATCTTAACATACACTCACTGTTGTTTGCGCTGCAGTTGTTTGTCTCTCTCTCTCAGCTCGTATCTGAGGCTGGCCAGCATCTCCACGGAAATGTCCCCCTGCCGCTCCAGTTCGGCCGCCCGCTCCTCCGCCTGGCGCTTCTCTCTGTGCATGCACTCACTCTCTCTCCTGGCCCGCCTCACCTCCGTGCTCCTCTGCTGCACCTCGTCCTGCAGCGTTTCCAGTTTGAGTGACACGCGCTCCTGCACCTCCAGCGCCAGCTGCTGAAGCCGGGCCTCCAGCGCCAGCCTGCCCAGCCATGGCACTCCCAGCTGGGCCACGGCGTGTCCGGTGTCTGCCTCCGCTTCTGCGGCTCTGGAGCTCAAGGCGACCGCCAGCACTGGAGACAGAGACGATGGCGAGTCCCTCTGGATGAGGATCTTTTGGAGCGGACGAGCCAAACTCAGGGCATCCAGGAGCTCCAGCCGCAGGGGGCGGTCGATTTCGTTCTCTCGCTGGGAGTAAAGGGACATCAGTCCGCCCTCAGAGCTCCGGCGAGGGGTCAGACAGAGTTTTTGGCAGGAGCGGATGCTGGAAAGGTGCTCCCCAAACCCACACGCCTCTCCACAGGTCAGGCAGTGTAACGGTAGCTCGGTGCTGGTCGACATTTTACGATGACGCACTCACACGCTCGAAAAACAACTCCTGAGTCGCATGGTGAGATAATTCAGAGTTCAGGAGCGTTTCAAGAACGTTTCAGTAACTTTAGGAGCGTTTCAAGAATGTTTCAGTAACTTTAGGAGAGTTTCAAGAAAGTGTCAGGAACTTTACGAGCATTTCAAGAACGTTTCAGGAACTTTAGGAGAGTTTCAAGAAAGTGTCAGGAACTTTACGAGCATTTCAAGAACGTTTCAGGAACTTTAGGAGAGTTTCAAGAAAGTGTCAGTAACTTTACGAGCATTTCAAGAATGTTTCAGGAACTTTACGATCATTTCAAGAACGTTTCAGGAACTTTAGGAGCGTTTCAAGAAAGTGTCGGTAACTTTACGAGCGTTTCAAGAATGTTTCAGTAACTTTAGGAGTGTTTCAAGAATGTTTCAGAAACTTTAGGAGCATTTCAAGAACATTTCAGTAACTTGAGGAGCATTTCAAGAAAGTTTCAGGAATGTTTCAGTAACTTTAGGAGTGTTTAGAGAATGTTTCAGAAACTTTAGGAGCATTTCAAGAAAGTTTCAGGAACGTTTCAGTAACTTTAGAGCATTTTTCAAGGCATTTCAGTATCTTCTGGATTTTTCAAAGGTTTTTCAGTAACGTTAGAAGCCTTTTAGGGGTGTTTCAGATGCATTTCAGTATCTTCTGGGACATTTTAGTAATATTAGGAGTGTTTTAAGGACGTTTCAGAATCTTCTGGGTGTTTCAAAGGTATTTCAGTAACTTAAGGAGCATTTTAGGGACGTTTCAGTATCTTTTGGTGTGTTTCAAGGGCCTTTTAGTAACTTCAGACGTGTTTTGGGTGCTTCAGTATTTTCTGGAGCATTTCAATGGCATTTCAGGAACCTTTAAGAGAATTTAGGGGCATTTCAGTAACTTTAGAAGATTTTTTTAGGGCTGTTTCAGAAGCGTCTTGAGGTATTTCAAGGTCTTTTCAGTAAGCTTTTTTTAATGGTATTTCAGAAGTGTTTCGGACCCGTCAGTAACTTTGGAGCATTTTAGGGGCAATTCGGTGTCTTCTGTGGTGTTTTTAGGAACTTTTCCAGTCTCGTGCACAATTGCACCTGCAAAAGAAAAATGGAACAAAAGGAATAACTTCAGTAATATTCAAACAATTATGAGTATACAAGTTTCCATGACAACACAATTTGTTGTAGTTTAAAGTGCTTTTAAATTGTCTAAATCTAAAGGTGAGTTGTATCCTTTCTGTGTCCTCCCTCAATCATCTATTGGTGATTTTAATATATTAACACATTGTTAACGTATTTTAATGCATCAAGCCAAACTTCATTAATTAATCAGCTGTTGTTTCGTAAGTATGTTCTCACATACAAGTGATGTAATGGAGAGAAACTGGTGAACTGTAAGCAGGTGAGTGTGTGTGTAAGTGTGCATTGATATTGAATCTCTGTGCTTTCAGTTGATACTTCTGTCATCATCTACCCACAATCCCATGGAACAAAATGTCACAGCTGCTCTTCCATACGATGTAAGTTCATGCAGAGCACTGCTATCATTATACTTAACTTAGTAAACAATGTTCTGTCTGGATTTGAAGCGCTGCATGCTGAGCAAAAAATGCACCACTAGACTCATCCATCTCACACTTACACAGTATATATGAGTATAAAGTGTTGTTTTTGTTCTCCTGTGATCATGTCTTATCTTGTTTAGAGTGCCAGGACTGCTAGCGTATTGTTTTATGGTATGCATTTGTTCACAGTCTCACTCTAGTTTAAATAAATCATGTGCTCGCAAAGGTGTCACCAATATTTCAATGTTTACTTTGTCATTTATTTAATTTATGTCTACTAGAATATCAAGTATACACTAATTGTCTATCCATCTCTCCAAGAGTGTTTATGATTCATTTTTAATGTAAATATAATCGAAAATAGATTTCATAATGTTAATGATTTTGCTTTAACTTCTGTTTTATGCATAATGGTGACAATTTATTTCCCAAAATGCTCTAATGTATTCAATACACATTATAGTTTTATAATTTATATAGTTTACACATTATAATTTTGGGGTCAGTGAGAATTAAAAAAAAAAAATTTCAAGTCTGCACACCAAGGCTGCATTTACGTGCTCAAAAATACAGCATTAACAGTAAAATTGTAAATTAGTATAATAATTTAAAAATAGTTGTTTTCTATGTGAATATCCGTTCAAATGTAATGTATTTCTGTGATG